ATATAATAATCAAGATCCCAGAAACCCAACAGAAGAACAAAATACTACAAGCAGTAAGAGAAAAGAAACAAATCACATACAAAGGAAAGCCCATCAGAATCACAGCAGACTTTTCAACCCAAACCCTTGGGGCAAGGAGAGCCTGGAATGAGATATTTCAAGTACTAAACGAGGACAACCTCCAACCTAGACTGATGTACCCAGCAAAACTCTTTCAAAATGGATGGGGAAATAAGACACTTCCACGACAAAGAACACCTAAGAAACTACATGAATACCAAACCAGCACTACAAGGAATTCTAAACAAGATCCTAGAAAAAGACAATGAAGGCAACAACGCCATGAGGCCCAACAGAGCAAATCAAATAGGCTAGGCAAGAAATTAAAAGGAGAAGGTGAAAAAGTAAAAAGAGTCAACAAAAGGCCAATAACATGTCAATAATAAGTCAGTACATATCAGTTATAACCAGCAATGTCAATGGCCTCAACTCACCAATCAGGAGAAATAGACTGGCAAAATGGAATAAGAAGCAAAATCCAACAATATGTTGTATACAAGAAACACACCTAGTACAAAAAGAAGTCCATAGACTGAAAGTGAAAAGACAGAAAACAATTCTCCATGTGACAGGAGCCCAGAAAAATACAGAGGTAGCAATCTTATTTGTAGACAAAGTAAATTTCAAACCAAAACTTATTCTAGTATTATTGATGTAGGACAGTACTGTATCATATCTCTATGAATGTAAAATATCTTGTACCTGCTTTATGATACATAGTAGGGACCATGCTTTATCAGAGCTACATTTAATGATATTACTCTAGAATGTTCTCTTTCCAGATGATGATTAAGATGCTAATAAAACAAATGGTCCCAGGTACCACAGCAGCAACAGAACTTTGCTGTTTTCTGGATATTATTCTTTTCTTTGTTTCTCTGTTTTGTTTTGTTTTTAATGGAATGTGCTGAATGTCTATAATTTTGTTCAGATGACTGCAGAACCTGGAAAAGCTGTTGCTGCTATCGATGCATAACATACTATTATTAGTCTTTTTATATAAATATAAATATATATATACATATATATATATAAATTGAATTGTGGGAAACTTTAACGGTGCTGCCAACTTTGGAAAAAGTCATCCCAATTTACTGTGTTGAGTTGGCATTGTACAGAAATGGACAGCCATATTGGTCTAGAAATGTTAATTTATTTTTATTTTTATTTTTTATTTTTTTTCCATGTGTACAGGGGTAACACATCGTACTAAACATGTAAGGTCAGATCTACATGGGTTTGGTTACAGAAACTAATAAAGTATTCTCTAAATAATGAAAAAAAGAATAAGATAAGACTATAAGAGCAAGAAGCAATTTAAATATGTGCGGGGACCATTTTCATCTCCAGAATTAAGGATTATTTTAATGTTACATCATTGCCTTTTCTCTTTTACTTTTTAGTTTTATTTTAGGATTCCCTATTTTTTAATGTTCATACAGAGATTTCTTTAACTGAAATACTGAATAGTTTCTTTGGTGTGAAAAACTATAATAGTACACAGGGTCCTAATGAGATAATTAATAATGTGAAATAGGAAGTAAAGGGCTAAAGGTGTAAGGAAAGTGGGAAGGGTGGGGGAAAGGTAATAAGGGAGAGGAAAAAAATATGAGAAACTGAAAAATGGAAATAAAGTGTTTGTAAATGGGGAGGGGAGGGGGTGAAGGGAGGGCAGGGACAAGGGGAAAAATGAGAATCAAGACCTGTTATGTATAGGTACAGAATCCCAATGATGAATGTAACTGTATTGTATACCTAGATTGTACCAATAACCTCAATAAAAAGAAATAGCAACAATAATAATACAAGGACATAGCCTAGTAGGTATCACCAGGGAGTCCCTGTGTTAATGAGTGAGTCGTGGAGAGGAGTTCTATGCCTCCCTCAGACTTTCGATCTTCTACTTTTCCCCACCAGCCTGCACCTTCCAATCCTCCAGGGAGGCAGACGCGTGCCTCAGCTCTTCAGTGCCCTGGGTGACTCTGTCTGCAGAGCCTTTCAAATGTGCTGTAAATAGAACCTAACCCCTGCTCCCTGCCTCCCTCCCCACCCTGGTCCAAGCCACCTCTCCCTGCTAGTCCAGGCTCAGCACAGCAGCCAGAGAGATAGTTTTCAAATACGAACAGGCCTCCTCTTCTCCAGAGGTCAACAGTGGCATTTCAGCCCTCAGGTTTCCTGCTGTCCTGAGGACCAGGCTCTTGCTCCTGACACCCAACAGACTGGCACCCCAAGGGGTCCCTTGGGCACAACCACAACCTCTGCTTTGATGCTGCCTTGTCCTCTTCCCTCATTCATTGGTGCTGCATAGGAAAATACTATTTTGTTCATTGTGTGTTAGCTGTCTGTCTGTCTCTAGACAATTAATTGTTCTTTCCTTTGCTCTCAGACTTGACTATAATCCCTGAGCTAGGATTTCAGAGCATTTTGTTCACATCTGCATGTGGCACAATGGCTGGCCAACACTGGTGTTTAACGACTGGTGAATAAGAGGATGGAGAAGGATGGGCAGAAAATTCTTGGACTGGTAGAATTGGGAGACATCAGAAAGGAGGAGTGATTTGGATAGATTGAAAGAAAAAGTGTAGAAGTGAGAGTTTGCTGTTAGAGTAAGGAATAAGGCTAGGGATGGGTTAGAAACAAGCATGGCTGGAAGTTAGAACTCTCCCCAGAGGAGAACAAAGGGTTCAACCTCTTATCTTTTGTTTTTGTTTTTTGAGACAGGGTCTCACTATATAGTTGAGTCTGACCTGGAACTCACTATGTGGTCCAGGCTGGTCTTGAACTCACAGCGATCCTCCTGCCTCAGCCTCCTGAATGCTGGGATTATAGGTGTGCACCACTATGCCCGGCTTCAACCTCTTATCTTTTGGATGTGGGGAACCTTTGGAGTTTTTTTTTTTTTAAAAGGTACTGGAGATCGAACTCTCGTCCTTTCCCTTGTGAGGCAGGTGGCAGCAGCTCTGAGCTAAACCCTCAGCCCCATCTTTGGACATTTTTGAACATAAGAATCAAATGATAAAACTGATTTTAACTGGTCAATTCTGCAATATTTTGCAGGATTCAAATGCATGACACTACAATACTAAGACAACATAAACGAGACAGCGGCAAGGAGGGGAGGAGGGAGACATTTGTATCACTGAGTCACTGTGCTGCCTGTGGGTTCTGCTTTTCTCCCTACCCAATGGTTTGAAGGGAAGTTCCTGTGCCCTTAAACATAAGCTTTTAAACACTCACTGGCATAGCAGGTAACTAAAGAAGGAGGGTGGGGGGCTTGGGCTACTCAGACGAAGCAGGGAAGGGCCAACTCCCACGACCCCCATCTGTCATGTGATCAGTCAGCGTCCCCACAAACACAGGCCTGTTTGGCCCACAGCTCCTCCTCTGCTGGGGCAGGGTCTAGACAAAGAAACCACAGGAAGTTTCTCCTGGTGGGATGGGCGCTCCTCGGGGCACTGGTGTCAGGCACAAGAGAGGCTGGTTGGAATGGGGAGCTGTTGAGGAAGCGGAAAGTTGGAAGTTTTCACTGGAAACAGGTGCAAAGAAGACAAATGAGTGAGTGGAGCCCAGGCTGAAGAGTAGAAGCAAAGCTTTTCCACCACAGGCAGGGAAGGCGAAATTGCCGTATTTTAATTCATTCAACCTCTGAGTAGATGTTAATTGCATGTTGTTATAGGCTCAGTTGTGTGCCCCTCCGAGTTCCTGCATTGAATCCTAAGGCCCAGTACCTCAGAGTGGTGAGCGGGTCATTAAAGTGGTAACGGAGATAAAACAAGGCCATTAGGGTGAGTCCTCATAAGAAGAGGAAATGGAAAGACATAGACAGTGGAAAGACCATGTGAGGACCTGGGGAGAAGATGGCCATTTGTCATCCAAAGGTGAAGCTTTAGAAAGAGCCAACTCTGCTGATGCTTGGCCGCAGCCTTCCAGCCTGCACACTTGGAGAACACTGATTGCCTGTCTGTTCCGTTGTGATGGCTGCTCCAGCAGCCTAATGCATGGGCCATGCCACTTGGAATGGAAAGAGTGCTAGGACCACTACAGGTCCTACTTCTGTATTCTGCAGACATGGAAATGTCCCAGGGCTTCCACATCCTAACCATCTGGGTGAGAACCCCTCTCTCCTTGCAGTCCCCACCCATTGTGGCAGCGCTGTGGGAAACACCCACAGCTCTCCCAGCATGTCTCTGGGGGGCGCAGAAGCTGGTGTGAGGGACAAGGACCCAGCTTGCCCTGTGGGGAGAACAAGACCTCTCTCTCCTAACAGCTCCACTCCCAAAAGGAGTACGAAGAATAAACAGTGAGAGGGGAAACCAGACAGAGGGAAGTGTTGTTGTAATTTTAAATGACTTGCACATGTCCCTAGGTAATTCTAAGGTGGAGAATGCCTGTGAGATATTTAAACTTGGTCGTCAAGAGACTGTCTTGAAGCCTCTGTCCTCTGTGCTTAGTAACTATTGTGTTTCCCTGAAAATAAGACCTGGCTAGAAAACAATCAGCCTGGAAAACTAGAGATCAAAAACACCAGCCCCAGGCAGCGCATCCTTGTCTCACCTGCCTTACAGAGTTAACCACCAAGCAAGAAAATAGTGATGGCAGGCAAGGCAAGGACAGGCTGCTTGGGCCTGGCATTTTTGATCTATGGTTTTTCAAAGCTGATTATTTTCCAGCTAGATCTTGCTTTCCGAAAGAGTAGTAGGCTGATTTAAACCCAGCCACAGTTATCTTTCCATGACACACCCATGGAGAACAGCTATTCTCAGACCAACGCCAGAGAGTGGTCACGTGGCCTAAACGCGTGAAATAAATGCCTCACCGTGGCAGCCTCCGTGTTTATCTTCCATGTCAAGCCACTTTATGGCTCGAAGGTTTCCAGTCCAGGATGCATTGGGCATGGAGCCAGGGACACCTGCAAAAGAAAGACAGACTCTTTAATAAATAGTGCTGGAAAAACTGGCTTTCCACATGCCGAAGACTGAAACGAGACCCATATCTTTCACCACGCACTAACCTAAAGTCAAAATGGATCTACATATTAAAACAGAAACACTAAATCTGCTGGAAGAGAGACTAGGTAGGACACTTGAGGACATAGGAGTAGGCAGACTTCATGAGTAAAATCCAGACCGCACAGGAAATACTACAAAGAATCAACAACTGGGACCTCATCTTATTAAAAAGCTTTTGAATAGCAAGAGAAACCACCAACAGAGTGAAGAGAAAACCCACAGAGAGGGAAAAAAAAATTTACTAGCTATCCAGATAAAGGTCTATTATCTAGAATATATAAAGAACTAAACAGAAAGACCTCCCCAATTTAAAGACCCAATTGAAAAATGGGCATCTGAAAAAGACACTTCTCAGATGAAGAATTAGAAATGGCAAATACATGCACCACTGTTGGTGGGAGTGTAGACCGGTACAACCACTGTGGAAATTTATAAAAAACTAAAACTAGAGGTTCCATTTGACCCAGCTATGCCTTTACTTGGTATCTTCTCAAAAGGATTAAAAGCCATCATGGGCCGGGAATTTAGCTCAGTGGTTTCACTGCCTGCCTTGCAAATGCAAGTTCCTGAGTTCAATCCCCCATACCTGACCCCAAAAAGTATCATATCACAGTGATATATGCGCACCCATGTTTATAGCATCACAGTTTGTAATAGCTAAACCTAAGAAGCAGCCCAAATGCCCTAAACTGACAAGTGGATAAAGATGATGTGGGTTTTTGTATACAATGGAGTACTACTCTGCATAAAGGATGAGCTTCAGACATTTATAGCTAAATGGATGGACCTTGAGATCATACTCTTAAGTGAAATAAATCAGACACATGTTTAAATACCACATTGTTTCTCTGGTGTGAGAAACTGAAAGTAGAACTAAAGACTAAGATGTATAATGGATGCTGGGAAATAGGAAGAAAGTGTTCAAATGGAAAAGGTAACAAGGGAGGAGGGGATGAAGGAAGGGACAAGAAAAAAGGGAAAAATAGAAGGAAAAATGAAAACAAAGCTTTTGTACATAGGAAGGGAGGGAGTTTGAGGTAGGTAACTGGATAAAATAAATTTTATTTTAAATAAGATAAAGAATCAGGACATGAAGACAATGGCTCCATCCAGGAAGTCTGAAAATCATGCTTTTCTTTTAGTATATCACCTTTTACATTTCACGGATTCATGCGTACTGGTCCATTTTTGTTTCCTCCAGTTGATTTTTTTTTCTTTTTTTGAGAGAGGATCACATTGTGTTACCTATGCAAGACTGGAACGCCTGGGTTCTAGTGTTCAGCCTCCCAAGGAGCTCAAACTACAGGTATGTGCCACCATACCAAGATCCAACTGATCTTTGGCCAAATATTATTTGCTGATTAACTACCCGAATGATATAACATCTGATTTAGTCAATACATGAATCCAATTCTAATCAGCATACTAATATCAAATCACTAATAAGCTATTAGTGTAATATCTAATTCTTTGATGTGTAAAGAATTAACCCCAAAAACAAAAAAGATGGGAAGGGTGCCTTCAGGTGCCGTTTCCAAATGAGGGTCTCTCCACCACTGAAGCTTTGGGATGGGCCATTCTATGTGATGGGGCCATCGCATGTACCGAAGGGCGGTAAGCAGTACTTGCCGGCCCTACCTACAAGATACTAGATTCTGTGACAACCAGAATCCCAGCACACTCTGCTACATGGGGAAGAGGACAAAAATCACTCATTTCTGAGAGAGACAGAGCTTAAGCCATCTCCAGTAACCCTCTCCAGCTTGATACATTTTGGATTGTTCACAGAGGTTACGGTCCATTTAACCATTACCAGATAGCTTGTTCTGTATTATCTGTTTGCAGTACTAGGGACTGAACACAGGGCATTAGCATTTGGCTACCTCCTGAGCCCTTTTCAAATTTTATATTTTGAAGACTGGATTTCTCTAAGTTACTAAATTGCTCCAGGCTGGGCTCAAGCTTGTGATTCTCCTGCTTCAGCCTCCCAGAGTGCTGAGATTACAGGGATGGGCCTGGCCATACAGGGTGGTTAAAACAAGATGATAACAAAACTCACTACTGGCAAAGGAGCACTATATATGGGAATATCAATGCAACTAAGAGGGGAATTCTTTGCCTCCCAAGAGCTGCTGCCTTTTCCCCCAGTGAGTAATGGAATCGGAACCTAACTGAGGTATCAACAGTGCACACATGTTTAAACTCAAATCACAACAGTCCTCTTTGGAAAGATTCTTCTTAAATGCTGATAAGACACACTATGGTAGGCAGAACAGAGATGACCCCATCCTAACCCCTGGATCCTAAGAAGATGCCATATTGCAGGGTGCAGGAGAGTGGAGGCTGCTAATCTGCTGGCCTCCAAACAGAATGCCCTGAATTACAATTCAGGGTTCACTGTAATTCCAGGAGTCTGTCAGACTCTGAACCTCAGCACTGCAGGGCACGTAAGTTGTTTAATTTTCTGATACAGTGGACCCTTGACTTACAAACTCCATTCATTCTTGAGGGCTGGTTGTAACTCAAGTTGGTCAGTTGAAGGCTCAGTCTGTTCTACAAAGCTTTCAAAGTCTCTCTCCTGTACACAGGCAGATTTCAGTGTCCTTAGAGAGACACCGGCCCAGGATTTCTCATTAACCCCACACAGTAAAGGATGTTGTCTGTTCCTTTCAGAGCTCTTTAAGGGTTAAATGTATATCTGAGACCATCTGGAAGCACAAGTGGCCAGCATTCAGGTTGCAACTCAAGATTTTGGTCATAAGTTAAAACTAACATTCTGGTCATAACCCAAATTGTTCGTGTATCTGGCTGGTTATAACTTGAGGGTCCACTGTAATTTGTTAAAGGGACAAATAATAAAAGCAAATTCACATTCTTGAGAAAAAAATTACTCACATGTGGGTACTTTTTCAATAAGAAGGGAAATTTAGACAAAACCAACACTTTGAAAGGATTGAAAAGGGACTGGGAATTTAGAAGAACTTTGCCCTTTAAAAACATTAATAGACCCACATCCATCTCCAGAAGAAAAACAGCTCTGTTCTTTTGCCTTGTGGTCACATGATAATTACATGATGATCTAAGTCTGGAATTGTACCGAGTTTCTCAACTAAAATTAAATTTTACCAGTCTTTCCTATAAATAGGAGGCAGGGATCTTTAACCCCGACTCTGTACAGCAACACAGCCTTCTTGTTTTGGCAGCACAAACTTGAAAACAGTCAACAAAATATTCAGCAAAACACTTTATTAAGTAATATAACTTCCTATTGCTTTACTTTGACTACTTGAAAAATTATTTTAGCGCCTGCCTATCTAAAAAGAAGCTTCCTTACTCTTAACACACATTTTTAAAAATTTAGATTAAAACTTGTCTTGGTTAAGTTGGGGTTGGGGAGAGGGTCTGGAAAGGGAAGAGAATTTGATTTTACTTATATCAACAAGACCAGCTGATGTGTGTGGCATTTATGTGTATGTAGATGAAATTACTACCTCAGAAGAGTACGACAACATTCTCATGACAAAACATCTCTCAACCTTTAAGTGACTACACTTTTGAAAAGACATTTTTCTTCTTCTTTGATTCTCATTAATATTGATCATAGCAGACTTACTTAGAAACACCTATTATTCCAGAGGAAAGATTGTGACATTAATAATTAATGACCCCCAGTCTTTCCAAACACACCCACACCATCTGACTGCCTGCTAAAGGAATTCCAAATCTCAACTTCTATGCTTTCTATTTGATGACAGTTCTCAAAACACATCTATGTTTAAATATTAAGCACATTTGAGCATAAAAATATTACTTTTTTTTTTTTTTTT